CGAATATTTTTCACGCTACTTTTTCGTCTTATTTAAAAAGATATTTATAGCTAGGTAAACATTCCATGATGAAGATACGTTCCCATAATTTGACGCATGGCAAACGACGTCATGGCGATACAAAGTATTCCATTTCACAAAGGCACGATGATTAGGGAGGTGAGGAGCATTTACAGACGTCACAGATACAATTTTTTCGCCAAGATTCGTGACATTTTGAAGGGCTCTTTCTATTTCGCTCTGAAAGAAGTTAACAACCGTGGACATGTAACGCGCGTCGTGCGGCAGAAAGTGCGCGCGGATACTTTCTCACGACGGCGATTCACGCGACCCGCGGCGCAAACAAACGGGACGGCGACGACGTTCGCGAACGATGGCGGCGTAGAATAGTAGCACCGTGGAGGACGAAAGATCGGGGCCCCCGGACCCCGCGAACGGGAGGACCGCGTGCGCGCGGCAGAAAAGAAAGGAGGGCGGTGGCGGCAGCGGTGTCAGGGGGATTTGTCGAGCTCGCGCTGTGGAGGGGCGCACCGAAAATTGGGTACTGGTGGGGGTGATGGGGACCAGCCGCATAATGACAGGGTGCCTCGCGCCAAGGCTCCGCTAACGAACCGGCCCCATGGAACCGAAAGGGTCCGGGGCTAGGACACGACACTGTATTATTTTACCATTTCGGGGATCGGGGGCATCATCAGAAATCATCGCCGAATCCATATAATCAGTAGACGGTTACGTGCAGCCATGATTTTAAGTGCTGCACAGCGGGATAGGGTGAGAGAGAGGGACAAGAAGAGGAGAGGGGGGAGGGATAGGGGGGGGTTTAATAAGGCGAACGGTCGTTCTCGTTGTCCCTTCGAACAATTCGCGAACTTTCTTCTCCCGGTGCGAATATCCCCGGTATGAACTTGCAAGACTCATCGTGATCGCTAATGACACCGACGATGCGATAAAAAGCAAAAGCGCCTCCTTTTCGAGCCGTGATTTTTTATCGTCCTTGTCCACGACGACGCCATTTTGGTATCGCGAAAGATGGTCCTTTTAAATCGGCTCAATGAGATTGCAACGGCGGGATGATTTCGCGACACGATGAAGAAAGAGAAGGGCGAAACCGCGGCGGGAAAAAAGAAATCTCGTGCGCGAACTTTGGAAATTAACAAATTGAAGGTGAGAAATCCCGAGCACTTTGCTAAAACGGGTACTTCCACATTTTTTCGTTTCCGTCTTAAAAGCATGTCTCTTGATAATTGAAGACAAATTGCCCTGAGAGCCTGTAACTGCAAAAATGTACATTCAACAATACCAATTTGACAATAATTTTCTGCCGGTAGAATTTAGCGAGGAAACACGGGCGCGGCTTGAAAAAATACATTAAATGTAAAAATGCTACTCTACGTAAGAAGCTTATTCACGCGAAGAATGGACAATAATCGCCATATGCGTGTGTACGTCCGAATGTTAAATACACGAGTTAACGTTTCTCCATCGTTCTCTACATGGTATTATTTGCTTTTTCGGCTTTCCAACGCGTCCGAGATCTCTCATTCGTTGATTTCTAAAAACACACAACGGGTCACATTTAACAAACATCGAGCGACGCTATCAAGTTCGTTAGCGATCGATTGATATTTATTACAATTTGTAAAAGCCCCGTAACCGATTCTCGTCGATATAGCGTGAGTGAAAAGCGAATTTAATGTATGGAGTCTTCGATATTGTATTCGCGCGAAAGTCCGGAGAGGTCGGAAGCAAAGTAATGAAGTGCAATGCGCGGAGCACACCGTGAAAGTTGATCGATAAAGATCTAAATGAAAGTCGCGGAGAGAATATAAAGCGACTCTCCGGAGCGCAGCTACTTTGCGTAGGACCGACCGGTTTACCGAGGCAAGGGAGGAAGGACATTTTGCAAGTTACGTGTTCTACTCTGATTGGGAACTTGCCGCCTATAAGTCACAGCTCGTCGAACGAAAATAAATAATTTACCTGAGCTAGTCGCACACGTGTACCGTGTGTTCTTGCGTGCGTGTGTCCACCAGCGCAAATGTACCTTCGCTGTCGCTGAAATTCTTGGAAAATAAACGTTTAACCTTATAATCGTCGATAATCCATCGCGTTGTTACACTTTCGAATTTATTGGGTCTCAATTAGAACACCTCTCTCCTCCTCATGTCCCGAGATAAACAATGCGGACGATTTTAATTTCTCTCGTCTTCGCATTCGTCTTCGTAAAAAGATAGAGGGACGCGATAGAGGGAATAATTTAGATGTGAAGGGACGCGAGATTCGTTGTCCTCGTGGAAGTGTAGAAGAAGATAGAGTTCGGCCCAACACGTAAGCCGGGCACCGTGACATGCGTTACTTCGATAATTAGAAGCTTTCTCCTGGACGCAGGTACCGATGCAGCCTTCTCACCGAACAGTCCGAGAATTCTACGGCCCTTGTCCGCGATGACGGTTTACAGATAACTCATCCCTGGACGAGATTCGGCGTGTCCTGCTCCTGTCTATCTCTGACGTATTGCAGAACCGCCTCTTGTTTTCCCAAATTATTCGGCGATGTTTTTTATCAAGGTTAAACCTTCGGTTAATCAATCTTTCCATCGATGATTTGCAAACGATTAAAATTAGCAATAAATCTTGCAAAAACTGGTTTACCTTTTCCAGAATGGCATTTGGATTTTAAATCAAATGTCTTCGACGAGAAAAAAAATAGGCTTAAACAATTGTTTCTCAGCTTAACGAATTTGGCGCAAATTCGATACGGTCTGCCTTCGTCGTGCTTGCATTTTCTCGCCGCGTACATCTTGAAATTCTAGCGACGCCATGTTCAATCACAGCGACAAAGGAAGTCTAGCTGCGAGACTTTGAATACTTGATATCAACCACCGCGCACGCAAGAGTTACGGCCTTGATTCATACCGTGGGCAAGTTGGCGCGCGCGAGGCATCTTCCCGTTGCAGTCGCCATCGTCGTCATCGTCGTCGTCGTCGTCGCACACGATAAATTGCGCCACGTACGTCGTGGTATCCACAAGCACGAACACACAATGCGCGGTAATTGAGTTACAGAAGTCTAGCGTTGTGCCTGTAACTGCAAGCGCACGCAGGCGACTCTTCAGCCTGAGAGTGGTTCCGGACGTGGATCTCACGAAACTATACAGATTCGATCCGATCCAGATATATTTGTGTTCAGATATATTTGTGAAAACGTGATACCCATAGATAAAAATGTGCGGGTTGATTCTCTTGAAAAATCCTCTAGCGTCTTCTGGCAACATCTTCGAGATCTCCGATTTGATTCTGCTACGATGAATGTAACGTCATTCAGAGACAGCTAGATCATCGAGCAAATTATCAAACAATCATATGTAGATTTTTCCCATAGGAAAAAAGAGAAGGAAAAAAATGAAGGAAATTATCGTTCTTAAAAAAATAAAAATTTTCACAAATTCGCATTTTTCATCAATTTTTCAATTTTTACAAATTATAAGCAAAGATTTATTAAATAAGAAAAAAATTGATTGTTATTTTTCAATTAACACAGTAAGTTAGGGAAAATTATCAAATTTTAAAGTCATCATTACGTCTCTCCCTTTCCTCTATATATCTTTGGCTAACGTTTCACTAATAATATCTCAAAAAATATTAAGACACCGCGCTTTGCATATCCGCGATGGAATTAACGGATGCTAAAGCGACTGTCTTTATGTTTGAATCTGCATGCAATTTTTTTCAGCAGATCTTCGTCGCGCACTTTCTCTCTTCATTTTTTTTACGCACGTCCCACGCGCGCGCGCGTAACGCAGCGCGGCTACGCGCGACCGCGTCGCGAGGCAATAACATTTTTCACATCACGACAGTGCCGATCGATTATTTCTGATTCGAGTAATAATAATATGTGAATGTAATTGCCCCGTCGTTTAGATTAGCTATTAATTGCTTCCCCCCTCGGTGTATTTCATATATGGGTGTCATTTATGGCCGCGCCGTTGCCGCGCCGAGAGAAACAACTTGATATTGCCTCTGGCGCGATTGGTTGCGTCTTGCACCGCAGGCCTGCGCGAATGTAAACGTGTGATTCATGATTCAAAACGAAAGTAACAAATTACGTGTAAGATTTTGCGATTGGGACATAATTTTTCTATTCTTAAAAAAAAAGAGAAAGGATAACCGAAGTTCAAGGGATATTAAACCGAATTCAAATCAAGCAAACGAGCATGAACAAACACGAATTATTCATATCCATTTAAGCGAATTTATGTTCGTTCCTGTTTATTTGTATTTGATTCGATTTCGACTTTACGATTCATCTCTGATCATAAGTAATTTAACTCTCTTTTATTTGAAATGAGCATTTAGCTTGATCTTTCATTAGATTATGGCGATAATTATGGCGAAGAAATGTTGCTGAAAATCATTACTGAGAGACCAGTCAATTGTTCGTTCTTGAAAATTCATGTATATATTTGTAATAAGGATAAAATGGTCATATGAGAAAACCTGAAAGTCATTAAAAAATATAATTTGAATTCTCAACGATTGCATACCTTCGTAATGAATACATGTTATATTTGTAGATGAATATTTAAAAGATTTTTTTATCGGAAACTAAAGTCTGAGAAATGACCTTTCTTTAATTAAGAAAAATAAGTTATAGTAAGCAATATTAAGATTAAGCCCATATTGCATTCAAGTTTAACATAAAACACGTATAATGCATAATAATATTATTACATGTTATGTATTATATTATTCTTATATATAGGGCCTGTTTTTTTATCATTGCACTGGACTGCATTAAAATTAACTATTATCAAAATGTAAGAGAATAAAAAATTTTCAAATATCTTACAGAGAAATATGAATGTTTCGAGTTAATGTTATGCAGTTCCATCTGCATTGCAGAATTATATCTAAAAGGTACGAAAACGTTAAGGTGGCGCCACTTGCCGGTCGCTTCTTACACTAGCAGAGAAATGTTGGATTCAAAACGAAACACGGAAGATGATTAACGTTGTCTTACCATTCATAAAAAAGGGAATTTATTTTGAAAATATTTAGAATATACGGATTTCAATATAATATACTAACTAATTGAATCATTTCAAAATTTCAAAAATTCAAAGGAATATTCGGCCAATACTGAGGATTATTTGTATCTTCATATTGATTCACTTTACTCTGCAGAGAGGCTTCCATCGCCAATATCTTGGAACTGGCTTCACCATATAGCAAATCAGCTTCCTTCTTTCTCCTTTGGATGCTCTCGGCACCGCCGACGATGGGCGTTTCTTCTTCCGAGACACGAGGCGAAACTTTTTTCTCGTGCGCGGCCTTGAATCTACGTTTCTGTCGCAATTCTCGCTTGTGCCTTTCGCTCGTCTCAAAAAAGTTCAGCATATCCTCGGTTATCGTGAATTCAAAATCCTCGTCATTGGAAACAAATTCCACATGGTTTCCTCGTCGAGCATCGCTGTCATTGTTGGCCTTTACGTTATGATTATTCTGCCGATTATCACGATAGTCGCGACGCTGAGCCAAGAATCTCACCTTGTCACGCAGTATTTTGTTCTCGTGTTCGAGAGCGACACAGCGTGATCTCCACCAGGTTATGTTATGTCTGCAAGAAGAGACTATTTTGATTATTGATGATTCTCTATGAATGTTATTTCCTCGTGAATCTACCGTTTTTGCCATTCCTGAGCCACTGTGTAATTCTTCCAGAACGCGTCGGCCTGCATCGTGTCCGTCGTTAACGTCTCTCGTGTGTCTCGTGTGTCATATTTGGGGAAGACTCTCCAGTGCTTCGACTTAACCTCAATCTTGATCCGCTCGCGTAGTCGTTTCCTCAGGTATCGCTTCCTCCTCCACTTCCCGTGCCGTTTCGCAGCGGCAAATTCCATACCCCGTTGGAGCTTTTTTTCTATGACAGCTGAGTTATTCAGCTGTGAGTCTACTCGATGAATCCATCATTGTTTATGTCGGAACTCCACATATCCGCCATCCGACGTGAAATGATGGAATCTGAACGAAAAAGTTCTCTCCTACGTTTTCGGAGCAATATCTGAATGTTCATTCCTACCAATGTAGATTAATTTCAATATCATTTTAGTTTTACTTTTTATTTTTTAAAGTTATAAGAATTAGAAAAAAATAAATAAATTAACTAAAATTAAAATTAACATAAATTAATATAAACATAAATAATAATCAAAATAATTCAAACTTGAATTATTCAGATTCGAATTCAGAAAATTGAAATATAAATTACATATATTGACAATCTTGTAAATCAATTTTTCATTAGGAACAAGAATGCGACTGTTTTTTAAAAGGACAAGCGCATTCCATTTTATGCATATGTGCGCATAATTTTATGTGCGCAATTTTACAATAACATTATGTTGATTAAAAGTTGTTTTTAACGATTCGATTTGAATGAAATTGTCGATTCAATTCGGCTTCGAAAAAAAATGAGATTCGATTCAATTTAGTATAAAAATACTTGATTCGCACATCTCTAATAAATGAATAAATCAACGATATCAGAAAAATTTTCTAACAAATTCGTATCTCTCGATAAAATTTTTTTTATTAATTTCTATGTTTTCAATTATATTCAGATCGATTAGGAGAAACGAGAAAATCGCACGCCAGGAGTGTATGAAAGATTAAATAGGTGATTTTCTTTTATTAGAAATGTACAGTGAAGCTTTATACAAATCTAGAAAAGAGATTATAACTTAAGTGAGAGTTACGCGTATATAACACTTATCAAGGTCTGATGATGTCTTTATTTCGTTTCCGCAGAAATTGCGCAATCACAATCGTCGCGAGTTCTTCTTCGCGCTAAAATATTTGCACGCACAATGATTATAATCTTCGTCTCTGTACACGCAGCAAGTGTTATAAATATCTCAAAATTCAACACTACCATTAGTTATTTTTCGAAACGTATCGATTACATTTACATTTCATGGTTTAGAATTTCAATCTCGATCACAATCAGTCAATCACACGTTTAAAGCAAAAGAGAAATGATTACACCTACGATTCAATTGAAAGAAATTTGATCGATACATATTTAAGAACGTACTTTTACGTTCCCTTTCGAAGTGTCGATATCATTTCGTTGAAAGCTGTGAAAATTATTGTCGATAATACATTTAAAATATAAGATCAACTAATATTTTCAAACTATAAGTTAATATGTAAGACCTGTTTGAAGGTTCAAAGATTGCAACACATACTATATTTTTCGTTTGTACAGACTTTCAACCAGCTTTCTGTTAATGAATGATTATAAAGGTCCAGTCCTGACTTCACATGTACGACAAGTTCAAACCGCGTTCAAACGATACTTCGTCATCGCCTAGTTTAACATTAGCGCTGCTTGAACTATTTCTCCTCGAATTGTTACGAGGTCCGTTAGCTCGGACGTTATTACTCGACGCCTCGTCATCGCTTCCATTCGTCGATGACGGTTTATGCAACGGTTCTAATCCGATAATTACACGGACGTCATCAGGAATCTGATGTTCCACAGACATCAGCTGATAATAAATACCTTCCGCTTTAGAGATCGTCCAAGGCAATTCGATATGAAGTGACAAGTCGTTTATATGCTGTAGACAATAATATTACAATATATTTAGATTTCGACAGACATCTTGTGTTGCTACATTGAAAAATGCTTTTAGTTACCTTTAAAATTTCCGTAAATCCGTAATTATTCTCTATTAAAATATTTTTCTCCGTGTCCAAAATAGCTGCACATACGAGCAAATGAAAGTTTTTACAAGGTAAATCGGTCCATAAGATCTCCCATAATTTCAATATATCGATTGCGCTAAATTCTCGCTTGAATAATACCAACAACCAGCGAAAGCAAAAAAACATGTTGCCAGAATCATGTCTGTTTAAATAGTATGCCAGTTGTGGTTCCGTAGTGCACAATAATGTATATAATTGACATAGTTGTGCCTTCATGCCTTTCTGATCCATCTCAAAATTAGTGCTCTGTTTTAAAATAATAAAAATTATTTGTAAATATTGACACAGTAATATGATACAAAAAAATATCAAACTTACCACTTTATCCATGAATCCAACAAAACACCAAAACGCGTCCACTTCGTTATCCATTAAAAACAAAATAGGACTAAGAAGATCACTCATACCCTGAACATATCCTAAATCAAAATTGTACATTACATAGGTCATGAGTATATCATACAATTGTTCTAAGTGTGGATTATTATCCCCCGAATAATAAGGGTGCGTTCTATCTGTCCTGTTAACATCCTTTTCTGAAATATTATTAAAATATTATTAAAATATTATTTAAAAAATGCATAATTCTTAATTAAAAAATACATATTGCATTTTTTATAAAACTTTTTTTCTGCTATAATTACCTATCAAACTTTTTCGTTCCCTATAATCAGAAAATCGACTCTCTTGCGCGGGCGTGAATGTACGCCATTGCAATTTCATCGTGAAATACTCATCAGTCTTTTTCCTCTTAAGTTCTAATCTTTCGTTATGTGTTGACTTCCATGGATAGTAATTCAATAAAAATTTCCATACTTCAAAACGTAGCGACGGACAAATACCCTAGTAAATTATTATAAATATATCTTATATTACAAGTTCATTTTTATTATTGTTTTTAAATAAAATAAAAATAATCTTTAGATATATACCCCTCGAAAGATAATTTCTTTGATAACTTCAGGGTTATTAATTCTTCCTTCTGGGTCTTTATATTTAGCCCATTGTTCTTGTGTCAATGGCGCACCTAAATAATTTTTATAAATAATTTTTATTTAAACATCTTATCAATTAAAAAATGAATATATATAAAAGATATAATTACATATAATTAAAAATATTATATCCTAGTTATTGAAATAATTTCTAAATGTATTACCACGTGGGCATGGTGGTCGAGGAGGTAAGTCCACTCCAACTCCAATTACTTCATATTCTTCACCGGATGCTATAGATACAGATACACGCGGGTCAGGATTGATTGTAAGAGACTGATTTAATAAATCAGCAACTGCTTCTTCAACTGGTCGTTTCACTGGTTCTTTATACACTATAATATTACAAACAATATATGTATGAACTCTTTCATTTATTATGATATATGACATATAACAATTATCATCATTTTTTTCTTACACCAGATATCTGCAAGTTTGCTGAATGCCTCCATTGTCGTTTCATAAGGGCGATTGTGCAAATTTTTCACAAATTTCCATACATAATCAGAAGTGTTTTCTTGAAATAAATCCAACTCGGCAAATGATTTCTTCAATACAGTTTCTACTTCGTCCAGTACTAGATACAAGTTCTTGTCAAAGCGCGATTTTACAAATTTGATAAATCCTTTTAGTGAATTAATAAAACTTTCAGCATTGGCCAGCTGAAAGAAGGCAACATAGGTGGTACCATCCCTCTGCATAAATATGAGCTGCTGCCCACCGTGATTCACGCGAAATGACTTTAACTCAGAGAACAATATTTTAACGGTTCTCGTACGTCCAAGGGAGTCTGGACCTTCCGAATTTGTACGAGTCCTCCTTGTATGTGTATCCACTAGAGACCATTCTGGATCCTGATCTTGACATTCCGATACTACAGAATCTTCTACAGGCTTCCATTCTATACATTTGCCAAAACTCTGCAGTAGAAAGATATCATCTTTGACATATTTACATACATATAACAACAAAAATAGAATCTTACGTATTCCACGATATTAAGCGTTCCTGAACTGTGAACCTCGTCTTCTCTAGCATTTGCCCCACGAAGTACGACTCCCGTATGGATGCAGAGATCCTAGATCAATAAAAAATAATGAGAGATTTCTCAAGAAACATCTCGCAAAGATGTAACAGCGGCTATAATTTATGAACGTTACAGTGAATGTCTGACGTAATCAAAAGCAACAAACCATCAGTAATTCATCCATCATCAAATTATAAAATATCAAAACACAAGTTGTATCTCAAATTTTATTAACGTGAAGCAAAAAATACCCGCGCGAGTTCTCGCACGATCTTGTCATTCGCGAGACGCCAAAGATCGAGCGGCGTACCTAACCTCTCCGTCCAGAAGCGAAAAAGACTCAGGAGAGCGAACCACTTGGTCGAATCGCACAGGCGTTCTCGATCTTAATCGATCTCGCGTGCCGAGATCGCGACAGCGTGATCCCCTCGGGGATATCGAGTTTCGGGGAAATCGCAAATCACGCGACGCACATGTGGGCGGATGCATTCGGAAATGTCATTTCGTACGACCGCACGCGGAGCGTGATCGCGCCCGTGCGGACGCCCCGTGCATTCCGCGCGATGCGCCGTTCCTCGGGCGATGTCGGGAGGAAAGAACCAGGGATAAACCCGCTTACCTTTCCCTGCTCCGTGGGCTCGAACATCTCGGGCCTCGCGCGATCAGTCGTCGTCCTCGTCGAATTCAACTCCCCGCACTCGCTCTCATCACAACTGTCCCACATCGCGGCACTGTGCCCTCCGACCCGTTCCCTCTTTCTCTCTCGCGCGCGCGTATCTCGCTTACCCCCTCTCTGTCTCTGTCTCTCTCTCTCTCTCTCCTCTCTCTCTCTCTCTCTCTCTCTCT